TTATTTGGTTTTTTATGTGGAAAAAGTTTTAACCTAAGCCTAATAAATGAATCAAGATTATCTCAAATTAATTAGGAAAAGAAATTATTTTTTAGAGAAGATTTTTAGTAAACCCTAGTTCTAATTTATCAAAAGGAAATAAACAACTTCTTTGAAAAAAGTAAGTATTTTTTGTATTTTTGTCTTGAAAAATAATATATGGTATTTATGAGGTATTTTGGTCTTTTGTATTAAAAATAATATGCTTAATGAGTGTGAAGAAGAAAAAAAATTAATTTAATTTACAAGTTTATTATATGAAAATATATGATATGTAAATAAAAATAAAATATTTTCTATGAGAAAAATAAAATAAAATGAACCAAAATATAAATCTAGCATTTTTATATTTTTTTTTATGATTTTTAATATTAAGGAAAATATGTTTCATAAAATAGAAATGAAAATAAAATGAATAAATAAAATATTTGGGCCAGGGGTGTTGCAAGCAAACAAGGGGTAGCATGTTAGCAAAAACAAAAAGGCCCAAGAACTGAAGCCCATGCTGCAAAACAACAAAAAAAGGGTGGAAAAAATGGGAAAATTGCAAAAGGCAGCGCCAAGGCTCGAACCCACGACCTATGGCATTTTTGCGTGCTGCCTTACCACTGGGGTGGCTGTACATTTGTTCATATAAGTAAAGGCATAAATATATATTATAAAACGCCCCCTGAAGGCAACTTCATCTCCAACCTTGAGCCATAGTCGGACCACCTGTAACTCTCTCATTTCTCCATGAAAATGGAAAGTGATAACATGAACATTATAGCATTTTACTTCACGATTCTAACCATGTGCATAACTAAAACTATAAGTCTAAGATCAGAGAGAATTTTGTTGGCCCTAATTCTTAACCTAATTTTTTCATAAACTTCAAACTTAAAATTCTCTAAACTCAAGCCAAATAAATGCAAGCTATGGATATGTACAACTTCGTAGCAATGATGTCTACATTTTATATTCACAAATGGAAAGCTAATTATGCTTGTATTAAGAGTTAGGAAAACAGAAAAATCACCTTGAAAATAGAAATCATGTTTTGAAAATGAGCTTGTTTAGGATGTTGTGATGATCATGTTAGTTTCCTTGAACCTCTAGGAAGTTAGTGCAATGCTTAGCTTGTCTTGAGGGTGGCTGGAATGGTCTGGAGAAGTTCATCTGTGTTGCTCTGTTTTTGAACTTCAACAATGGGGAAGATGGAGTTACAATGATGTTTCAGGGTGTGGGATGGTTTACTTGTAAGATAAGGAAGCTTGGGAAAGCAAAAGGCCTGAAAACGCACGAGTGAAATGGAAGATTCAGTTCACAAGTCAGAAATGACAAGTTTGGAGGCTTGGTATGCAACTTCTGATTCTAGGGTGTTTCAAGGCTTGGGCATTCTTCCTTTTAGTTACAAAATGATGGCTTTATATAGAGTAAAAGGTTGGAGGACTTGTGCTTGCTCAGAAGTACAAGATCACACGTCTTTCTACATTTCTTGTTTTTGAAGAAAGTGTGAGAAGTGACTTCTTAAGGCATGATTCTGATCTTGTAGGGTGGCTTGAAGCTTTAAACATGTTTTGTTCAGGTTTAGAGGCTTGGTTTGTGCAGAAAGAACAAGTCCAAGGCTCAAGAAATGGAAAAATGCAAAAAACATGCTTTTCCAAAGTGGCAATGTTGCCTTTCTTCCAAAAATGGCTATTTTCTTGTACAATGCATTGAATGCTTGGCTTTAGGGCATGAAACCTTGTGAAATCCATTAATGGTGGAGTGACAAACGAGTTTGAGGCCTGAAAAGTGAAGAATGTACAACCAATTTGCAAATTTGAAAACTTATTCTTCATGAAAATGACCTATAATCAAAGTGATAAAACCCTAACTTGATCTCTTCGATTCTCCCTACTCAAGAATGATCTCAAGGAGTTCTTGGACATTTTGGAAAGATTTTAATGTGCTATATAATCCATATTTGAAATGCTTTTGAAAATTCCTCTTGGAACTAGGTGAAAAGTTGCCATGAAGAGGATGTGTACATGTTACTGGGTCTCCCTGTCGACAGTAAGGTTGTTAACGGGTCGGTTCAACCACCCAATTCTCTGTGTGAAGAATTGTTGGGCAGGGATATGGTTGAAGGTGGTGGTGCGAGAGGTCAGGGTATACTACTAACTGAGCTTAAAAATCATTATGAAACTTTGGAATTAAACAAAAATTCCTCCGAGCAAGACAGGGTGATAAAAGCTAGAACTTATCTAATGATACTATTTGGAACCTTTTTATTTCCCGAAAGTACGGGAAATAGTGTAAATTTTATGTATTTAAATTTACTTAGAGATTTCGAAAAAACTAGAAAGTATAGTTGGGGTTCTGCTGTTTTAGTCCACCTATACAGTTCCTTGTGCAAAAATGCAATCAAAGAAAAATGTAAATTTTATGGCTGCGTTTTGAAGCGCATTCTCTTATACATGTAGAACAATTAACAAATATGGAGGATCAAGACAAAGTCAAGGAAGATACATTAAGATAAACTTATCATCAATCACAAGTACCTTGAATAATCAAAGGACCATTTAAAGGTAGATTCGAAATGATGAAAGTTCATCAAATATCCAACAAGCTTAGATAAACTAAAAAAGCTCAAATGCTTTCCAAATTGATCCAATAAAAATAAAATAGATAAAGAAGAATAAGCTGAAGTCTATAATAAAAATAGTAAAAATATCATAACTTTCTCATTTTTTTTCATGAAATTAAGCAAATGAATAATGAAAATTCATCTACTCAATTTGACGAACAAATATCAATACTCAAAATAAGTAAATAAAAAAACAAAAAATTACAGAAAAAAAAAACAAAAAATTAAACAACAATAAATCACTTTTGCTTTTGGAGGTTCAAGAACACTTTTCTACTCTTAATTTTGAATCAATAGAGTTTTCTTGTAAAATGGTAATAATTATGGTACTAAATAAATAAAGCAAGAGTAAAATGCAATAGAATTAAATAAAGAACAAGCATAAAGGCATACCTATTAATAAAAGGGAGAAATAACTTGAAAGAAAACGAAGAGAAAAAAGAAGAGATTTTTGGCTTAGTTTTATTGAACTATTGGTGGTCGAAAATGAGAGAAGAGAAATCTTATTTATAGTGTTAATGATGAGAAAATTTGAATGAAAAGTGTGGGAAGATTTAATTTTGAAATTTGAAAAAAAAAATTTGTGTGTAAACAATGAATGACATGAGAAATATGCTATAAGTTTGTAATGAAATTTGAAATTGGAAGGAAATTATGTGGCAATCCATGTGATGTAGCATGAACAAAAATGGGTTTTGATGAAAAAAGAATGAAGGGTGAGGATTGAATGAGATGAAAAGTGAAATTTGTAACGTTGTGATCCCAAAATTGGTTTTTTTTTCCTTTCATATTTTGGATAAAACAATAACATAAATAATACTAATAGTAAATATATATAAATTTTTTTTAGTATAATGATACAAACTAAAAGAATAAAATAAAATCAACAAGAAAATATTTTAATTTGAATTTTTCTGGATAAAAAAGGGACCAAAAATAACAAAAAACGATAAAAACGAACACTTAAGTAATCGTAAAAAAAGAAAATGAACATATTAAGATAAACTACACACAACAAAGATTAATAAAAAAGATTAAAATTGATCAAAATCAAAAGTAAAAATATTCGATTAAATAAGCACTGACAGTTAAAATGCGACTGCAAACTGCACCAAAAAAATAAAGCAAGCACGCCAACATGATTTAGGTAAAATGTAGATTCATAAAAAAGTTAGTTAAAGATAAAAACTCAAAATATTTTTCCTGCTAATTTCCGCACAATGTCTTATAAAAACAACATTTTAAAGTTCTTACTACATAACAAGAGAGTTATTACCCTACTATTTTCTCTGCTTAAATAATAAACCAACAAACATGCAACATCATAAATTTACAGAAACAATCATACTACACTACTCTCTATAAACTAACAATCCTAACACATCACATAAATCATGCTTAAAAGTTGTTGTGATCCTTCAAATATAAAAATCATCGCTTGCTAGATTTGGCATTGTCCAACACTAGTTTTCCATGTGGATGGTTTTGAAGCTCGTTGCGATAGGATCGAATGGTAAAAGAAAGTTTTCTACGTAGATAGCCCTGCAATAAACTAAACAAATAAATAATGATTAAAGAAAATATGAATAATTTTTTAACACAAATAATATGCGAATCAAAACGTTAATAAAAACTTGGAATGCTATAATACAATAAAAGTGGAATCCTTTAAAAAAAAATAGATTACCTTAGTGCATTTTAGTGCTCTTTGTGCAACATAATTCCCATAAGGATCTTGAATAACATTCAAGAAATCAGTGCTTCTTATTAGCTCTTCTACTATAGCATTAACATCATCTTGATTAGAACATCTCATTAAATCTTCCACCACATTGCTAGCATGCTTGTTCATTGAGAGTCTAACAAATTTTCCACAAAGTTCTCTTATCATCCGTTCATTTACTAACGGGAACTTCATTTTAATTACAAATTGCACCACATAGTTTCTTCAAACATACAAAATATATATATATATATATATATATATATATATATATATAATATATATATATATATATATATATATATATATATATATATATATATATATATATATATATATATATATATATATATATATATATATATATATATATATATATATATATATATATATATATATATATATATATATATATATATATATATATATATATATATATATATATATATATATAACATTTATCAAAATACTAAATTTAAAATAGTCATTCAAACTCTACTAAATAACATATAGCATATGTCATACTCAAAAAAAGAAAATATGAATTCAAGAGTGTGGATTCAAACCCGTAACAATCTTCCGCTAGCAACATAGCATTTGAGATTATTGGTGTTATAAAGCCCATGGCTAGTATCTCACTATCTTTAATACAAGTTTGAAGAACTGAACATCCAATCTTGTGTGTTGCAATTTCAACACAATATTTGCTAATTCATCCAAGATCACCTGTAAAAGTTATATAATTTGAGAGACATTAATATATGATGATAAAAGGTAATGTCTAATATGAATTTTCATTCTCTATTTACAATAGAACCTTTTTGAGTGTGGGTGGAAAAACCTTCACACATTGCACAATGACATAACCACCATTAATATTTTTCATCAATTCATCAATGATAGGCTTCATCATATACAATACCACATATTTTGTGACTGGACATTTCATATTCTCTAGCATTATTTGCATAACTCGAGTTCTGCACACACAAAAAAATTAAACGAAATTATCAATAGACACGTTTTTTTTAGAGGTCGATATCAGTGCTACATTAATAAATTTTTAATAATTACGTACCCGTGATTGTTCTTGCAGACGTCTCTTAACTTGTGAGTATCATAGATAATCAAGTAAACAATAGAATCTATTTGGATATTAGTGATGCCTTTCTTTGCTTCAAAAATCTTTTGAATCAAATAGTTGCCAAACTGATGTTTCATGAGCTGGTGTAAATAACCCTTTATCTCAGAGAGGATCATAGCAACATATGTTGGATCACCCTCTTCGATCACTGCTTGTAAATATTGACAGTCGAGACAATCCATCGCCATTGAAACCACGCATCCTCGCAATGGCGGAGTGAGTACTCTCATAGAAGCCATCTCCATCACGCTATAACCTTCATAAGGTAGTGATCCATAATCATTGTTCCATATATTACTACCACTAGTAAAAAATCTTGTACTTATTGGATTAATCTCTTCCATCGAAGGAGCAGTAATAATTTTTTAAGATTTGATGCACTTAATTAATCACTTGCACTACCACTGTTTCTTTTGTTATATATATATATATATATATATATATATATATATATATATATATATATATATATATATATATATATATATATATCAAATTTGCAGCGGTTATTAGAATTTGAGAAAAAGAAGGTGAAACCAATTTGTTACTTTTTTGTTTGAGGAAAAAGATAGAATATAATTTTATAACCAAAATAAAGATACGCTATATCAAATTAACTATGATTATTATTCCCAAAAATATTGAATCTGATATTTTTTTTCTCATATAGATTTGAATTTAAACTAACAGATATATCTTCCTAAAAAAACTAACAAAACCCCTATTTATACTCCATGAAAAACTGAATGAAAAGATAATTGATTTATCTAATCTTAATTAGCTTTTGAGTTATATTCTGAATAAATCAAATTATTTGGATAATAATATTTATTAGATATAGATAGGTATGAGATGCAAGTTTTATAAGTTACATCGCACTATGGATGGTTAATAAATTTTATAAAACTACATTATTAGAAAGTTTATGAAGGTAATTAGAAATTTCAAAAAAAAATCTTTAAACTAAATAGACACCAAAGTGGTTTTAATTAGGTTTAGTTTTAACTTTTGTGTCTTATTTTACTTAATTCAAAATTTATTATTTATTTAAAACTTAAACAGTTATGTTCTCCTCTTATTATTTTATAATAATTTTTTTTAATTTATATGTTTTATTATAAAATTCCACAAAACTTTTTTATATTATAATATGTTACGCTTTATAAATGACATATAGATTAAAAATAAATATATTATTAATTTTAAATATAAAATGTAAAAAGATTAAAACTAAATTTAAATTACGTGGATATATACCTTTGAAAAAAAGTGGATATTTCTTACAAATAATTAAAATAGAATGATTAAAATTATAATTAAATTAATCAATTACTATAAAGTAATGTTATATAATAAGAATGATTTAAATAAAAAAGACAATAATTTTAAAGGATAATGTTAAATTCATTTTAAATTTAATTTTTATTTTAATAGAAATCATGGATAATAGAGTAACGATATTAATGAATGGTTGAAATTTAATTTATGTCTTTTTTGCTTTTATATTTTCTTACTGATAGCATTTTTTATTATTATAATTAATTAATTATTAAATTTATTTATTTTTATTTTATTATTTTATAAATTATTTTTTTATTGAATTTTATTTGATAGTGATTTTTTAATTAAAAGTCAGAATTAAAATATAAAATTATAACTCTATATTTTGTTCATTTTTCAAACGATAAATGGTAGATATCTTTCATTCTATAATCAAACATTCAAATGATATTTATATAGTAACGTTATAAAACATTTTTTCACATATATTTGATTAAATAATATTAAAAAAAACTTCTTAAAATATTTTTATAATAAAATATAGTCTAAAGTGGCCAAAGTGTTAATTAAAAAAAATCAACCATTCATTTTAATAAAGAATTAATATTCAATTTTTTTTTTGAATAACCAAGTATTAAAAAAAAATCGCAAATAACCATATTTCGGAAAAAATTACGCAAATAACCATGTTTCAGATTGCTCTCCAAAGGAGGAGCCATCTCACTTGGCGCCTCCACCAAGCTTTTTGCCCTAGGCGCCATCTCACTTGGCGCCTCCTCTCTCTTTTAGCCAAGTGAGATGGCGCATGTACTTTAAAAGTGAGAGGAGGCACCATCTCACTTGGCTCCTAGGGCAAAATGTTGTTTTTATAATAATTCGTCCGTTTCTTCGTCATTTCTCACACTTTCTCGCACTGTTTTCTTATTTTTTTACTCTGTTATTTGCGTCATGACATCGCCCATGATTTTTACCAGAGATGGTTACGTTATCTTCTCCGGCCACGAAACCTGCTATGAAAATGAAATTCTGGCACAATCACTCCATGGAGCGTCTGAAGCGGGAGTTGATGCGATGGCTAGATGGAGACATCGTGGAGGGGGGAAAAAAATTCGAAGGATCCAACGAAGACGAACAACAACCTCACATGTGATAGGAAGACCTAATGTATGGTTGGAGGAAGTCAAAACAGACAGCAACGTTATGTTGATGATGCATGGGTCAGATGAAATTATTTTAACAGTTGTAATTTCGTAGACGGAATATCATATTTTTTTTCTTGTACGCACAATGTTTATTGTAGAAAATACTGTTAATGAAAAACCCTAATGTTTACAACATAATTAAGGAAAGATTTTATGTAATACAATTTTTATGTGGTCGAGGCAGACGCCCGATTCGGACAATTTTTGCGATTGTGTCCGACCTGACGGCATAAACCACACTTTCTTTCCAGCTTGTCAAGGGAGTCCATTTCGGTTGTGATGCGCTTACTTTTGGGACGACCCTTCTTGTTCCTTCGCATTTGGTCATTGTGCCACACTATTTCGCCGTCTTATGCAGGCCAATAATCTGGTTTTGCTACCAAATGAAAGTTGTTGTTATTATAAACGTTGAGCAACGTTTCAGATTTGTAAATGTGTGACATAAGTTTTAGCGCGTCTTGATGAGTATAAGCACACGCGGCAATGACATGAGAGCAAGGCATACGAAAGGCTTGAAATTTTCCACAATCGCACCAACGAGAAGGTAGTACAACCCTATATTCTTGTCTTGGCAGGCCCTCGTTGTGGTCGATTGTCTCTTTTACAATGAAGTTGTGGTTGTGTCGGTCAAACCGTATAACCATATGGGTGTTGGCTTTGGAAATTTCTGCCTTAATGTACTTCATACAGGTTTCACTCCATAGTTGTCCAGATTGCAACACTGCATTCCATATTTCACCTCTTTTGGCAAACAACGAAGCCATCCTAAAATACGTAGATTTTACCAAAGCAGTGACCGAGAGGTTTCATATGCCTTTGAATACCACATTCATCGATTCAATTAGATTTGTTGTCATGTACCCCCATCTTTGGCCATTGTCGTATGACCTAGTCCATTTTTCTACCAGAATATTGACGATCCACCTACCGGCTTCCGAATTTGACAAACGGATCTCGTTGCGGTAATATTTGAATGTGGGTTGTGACAATGCATATCCTGCATTCATAACTGCTTTCCTTAGTGTTTTGTCCTTGATCTCCCTCGTGAAATTTTGGACGATATGTCTAACGTAATAGACATGCGTAGAAGGAGGGTCATGCCAACCGTTTGCAGGATTATTGTATGCACTTTCAATGGATGCATGTCTATCCGAGATCAAACAGAGATCTGGTTGAGGAGCCACGTGTGTTCGTAGGTTTTTCAGAAAAAAGCTCCAAGCACCACCAGTCTCCCCCTCGACTAGGGCAAAGACAATTGGGAAAATGTTATTGTTGTCATCTTGTGCAACTGCCATCAGTAGCGTGCCTTTGTATTTCCCATACAACCAAGTCCCATCAATTTGTATAATTGGTTTGCATGATGCAAACCCTGTGATGCAAGGATGAAATGCCCAAAACACTCGACTGAATATTCCATTTCCGTTTAGTTGACTACCTTCACGGGCGTATGCTGGCACCTTTTCAATCGCCTTGGTCTTTGCTAACCACGCCTTACGGTAAGACGGAGTATAGTTAAAAACCGTAGTGATGTGGGAGATGATGGTTTTCACCTTCAAAGATGGATCGTTGCTGACGAGTGGTAGGATTTCTTGATAAATGAGATCGTAATTAAGTTTCCGATGGTCCTGTGATTGGGTAGAACTGACACAAGTGTGGGTAGACATCGAACCTATGACCCAGCAATCACCTCTTAATCTGTATGATGCAGTGAGCTTGAACATACAATCAGGGTGGACACACTTGATCTTGTACCTTTCTGGGTTTACACGGTCCACCTTAAAATCGACCGAGTTTAGCATGTGGAATTTTTTGATGGCTCTGATACATTCTTCTCTGTTACAAAACTTGTCCTTATCTTTTAAGTTTTCATCCGACTGCATATATGGATTGAAAAATAAATCATAAGACGATTCATCTTCGCCCATGTTGAAGTTTGTCATGTGCGGAGGTGGTGTGTAGATCTCGTTTGCAGGAATACCAGGTATCCTATCGTCTTCGGAATCATCATTCACCATTTCGTCAAACTCTAACTCGTCATCTTCTTCTTCTTCATCAACTACATCTACCTCTGCTTGTTCGATCTCCAAAGGATCAACCACTTGTGTCACCTGAGGCTCTCGCAGTATAATGTACAACTCAATAGAGTCGTACCCAGAATACACATGACTGGAAAACATATTCTGAAGATCCTCGTCATCTTGAACCTCAACCTTATAAAATATTATTTGGTTGTTACCAAAAAAAATTGGATACTGATAAAATATTTTTGTCACCGGGCCTCGTCCAAGTTTAACCTCTAATCGTTTTTTGAAGTACGAGAAATTGGCTTTCCCGTTTAAAAGAAATCGGATGTTGTCTGTGTCTCTAAACAAAAACCCAGAGGTGGGACAAATGTATGTCTCACCGTTGAAATGTGCACTGATGACATATTGGGGTGCAGAGACCATTGCGTATGGTTGTTTGAAGGTTTGAAGGTTTGAAGGTTGGAAGGTTTGAAGTTTATGAGTTATTCGAAGGTTTATAGGTTTGATTGTTTGAAGGTTTGATTATTTGAAGGTTTGAAGGTTGGAAGGTTTGACAGATTAAGTGAATCAGTGTTTTGATAAATGTAAGACTAAATAGGTCATACTTAATTTGAATTAGCTAAGGCTGTAACCTCTAAGGCTCCTCCCTAGGTTGCGCCTACTCTGCACCTACACTGTAACCTGTAAGTCTCCTCCCATCACCTCCAATAGTGTTACATGCATTCAGGCATGGCTTCTCCAAGGCTGTCACCTAGCCTGCGCCTACTCTGCAACCCATGCCACCTCTTATTCGCCAATGGGGATGGCGACACCTTTCATTTTTCTACTCTTTCGCCA